TGGAATAAACTTTTGTGGATCACATCAAACGGGTCCAAATAAAGTTAATCCTGGGTGCGCCTGTTCTTGGTTTCGGGGTTATTTTGTTTCAGTCTCATTAATTCTGCGGCTCGGCTTATAATGAGGACGTGTCTCGTTACGGTCAGATGAGAGAAGCAAAATATTTTAATGAACGGTTAATTAAAAGAAGGTCTTTTCAAAGTGTGTTTTCCCAGAAGGAGAATAAACTGCATGCAGGCGTGTTCGTCCAACACAAGGCCACTTGGAGAAAGCGTGGAGGGAGCGGCAGAGGGGAGGGCGAGGGGGGGCAGGAGCTCTTTGCATTAGTGAGGTCCACTGATGCTGGGTGAAAAGGTCCAGCTAGTTTCGGGTGGTGGATGGTGGGGGTGGGGGGGGTCCAGCTGTGTGCCCCACAGACTCAGCAAAGGGAAGCAGGACCGCCGCCCCAAATGTCATTGCATGCTTTAGCATTCGGATGTCACCGGGCAGCAACGAAGCCCTGGACCAATGGGAGAAGGTCTGCAGACCCGAGGGTCCGTTTACTACTGGTGACATCGTGGCGTCGGAGGCCGATGGGGGAGGGGAGGAAAAACAAACCCCACGGATCTCTGCCCTCCTCGTCACGAAAACAACTGAGGCTAAACATGAGGCTGATATTCAAACACCGCCAGTGTGCAGCACACACACACACACACACACACACAGCTGACCTTTACAGTGAGAAATGAATAAAACTTAAATCTGCAAATGACAAATTTGCATTTGGCCCTGCAGGATTTCCCCGAGGTGAATTTTCAGAGAGTCAAATGAGGGCGGTTGGATTTAATCTGCTGCCTCTGGGAGGGTTAGGTGCACACACACACACACACACAGAGAAAATTGAATAAACCAAGCAAACATTGATTGCCTTTTCATTTGCTAACAGGAATCAAAGTAAGAACTGAAGAAAAGAGGAGGAATTGACCGGGAATGAGAGAAGTGAAGAGACAGAGAGGAGGAGGAGGAGGAAGAAGGGAAAAGGAAGAGAAAAAAAAGGACATGAGAGGAATGGTGAGGAAGGGGGGAGGAGAGAGAGGGGAGGGGGAGGAGGCTTCGGCCGGGAGAATCAGTGAGACGTGCAGCAGCAGTAGCAGTTTGACCTTTGACCCTGCAGTTAAGTCGCGGTCAAGTCCAGAATCACAAAGCAGGTCATTCCCTGCAGAGCGTCGGTGTTCCCGGCGCCTCCTCTCTGGTCTGACTCAGTCAACAGAGCTTATCGGAGTCCTCACACATCTGTGAGCGGACAGAAAGGTCTCTCCTCCTCCTCTTATTATTATTATTATTATGTCCAAGTGTGTGTGTGAGAATATTTTTTCTTAACATTCCCCTGAAGCTTAAATTTAAGACTCGTCAACTAATGACAGAAAATACTAATTTGAGCTCAAGTCAATCCATAAAAAGGTTAAACGTTGTGTGAGTGTATAATGTGAAATTACATTACTTTAATAATCCAATCACATTTTCAATACCGCTGTAATTTCTGGTTACAAATGCGCCTGACAAAAATCCTAATTTAAAAAAATTGCTAACTGGCAAGCTAGTTTCAGAGCGGTGATGCTAATCCAATGGATTGGGGGGGAAAACCGGACTTCGGAAAGGAAGGAAGCGTCGTAATCGAGTCGGCTGATGAGAAACTGCTGGCGCAGCAAAATGCTGATTTTTAATTTGAATGAAGTTCCTCAGGACTGCACATTAAGGGATTGGTTTTGCAAAGATAGGAAACAAACACAAAAGCAGCTCATACGTAAAGTCAGAGAGGCTGGATGAAGTAGATGAGGGGCAATCGATCGGTGTTATGTCTGAAGAGATTGGTCACACCAGCATTTTAAACAGCTCTCTGGAGTTAAAAGACCCTAAAAACAAAACGCTTGCCTCACACGGCCCAGGGATACCAAACACGACAAAAAGACATCATATCTTTGTGATAAGTGATTAAACCTAAAGCCGCCAAAAGCACCCAACCTTTCGCTATTTACAAATTGGTCTCGTTTCCTGCATTGAAGCGATAGATTAAGTCAGGTGATTTTAAATCAGACTAATAAGTACATTGAAAAGGTTGATAGTTCAGACAAAAAGGATTGTTTTACTTTGCCCCCAAAATATCGTTGCCTGGAGTAGAAGGAGTTAACGATGTGAATAAAATAAAAAGTGGGGAGCTCTTAGAGACCTTCAGCTCCTCCTAAAGGAGGCTTGATTGACAAGGTGCAGAAGCCTGTGTGTGTGTGTGTGTGTGTGTGTGTGTGAGAGACGAGGAGGTTTAGGCATTCGGTCTGTTGAGCATCTGTCATTAAACGGTTTGAGTTGTGTGTCTTTCAGGCTTCACTGCTTCCACTCCAGGGTCAGAAGAGAGTTTCATTCGGAATGTTCAGAACCACGATTATTATCATAAAACATGTCCTATAAAGTCCTTTGTTCAATAAGGAAAGACGCCGCGTGCTTTAGATAAAGTGAGTGATGGAATAATAAGATGAAGACTGGACCTAATTTGCTTCAGTTCATCAATATTACTGAGCAGAATATTTCTTCACAATTTAAAATTGAAAGAAAAGAGTAAGTAGCAGATTATGATCAAATTCACCGTAAACGTTTCAATTGATCTGGAGAAAAATGTCTGCTGATTATTAATTTCACTCATTTAATCTGTTAAAAAAAAGTATTTCTTTCAAGCAGAGATTTGTTTTTCCCTTTTGGAGGAAACAAGATTAACTCACGTTTTTGACTAACGCGGCGCTACAGTGGCCATTTATATTTTTCACTTTGCTATACGCTGTAATGAAGCTACAGGAGAACGCAACTTACAACCATTGAAGTTGGCGAGATAACAACCAACTGACATAAGAAATTCACCACCGTCCTTAATTATCGAGTTTTGAAATAAATAATCCCTGAATAAATGAACCCTCATATGTAGAACATCTGGGGCAATTTCCCCTCAACTCCCGAGATGTATTTTATAGATACTCTAGTGAGATTAATTAACCGAGGCAACATGTTAGACACATATTTGAGGAATTAAAGCTGTGTGTGTGTGTGTGAGAAGTTAAAATCCACCTCATTCCCTGAAGAGTGGAGTTGAGAACAGGCTTTACTTCTAAGTTTTAGAAGATGAGAAGTTGAGACAATCTGCGTGGGAAAGTAGAGATTTCTTTTTACTGATGATACATGTGCGCATGCGTGTGCTCGTTTAGGCATGAGGCGAGTACGGCGGACACGTGACGAGTCCGAAACGCTTTTGGTAAACACTCGTATCGACGGAACTGCTGCTTTTTATTCCTGGTAGAAAAGCAGTAACTTCGATTGTGGATTCAAAAAGGAGGCGAAACACTTCATAAAGAACTGAAGGAAGCAAAGTTGACTTGTTGTTTTCGTGGAATCAGACTTGTTGCTGACAGACGGTGGGATGTAACACAAGAACATTTGTGGCACTTGAGGTCAAAAGGGCCAACGACTTTTGGTTAGTGATCCTGAAATCATCAAGTTACTGAAAACTAGTTGGCTTTCAACATAAAACTAAAATGCCATCAAACTTTAACTTTAAAAATGATCATCGAGTGATAATACAAAGCCAGATTGTACTCGTTACGCATCAGAAAGCAGGAGTGAGACCTCTGATTGGCTGCTACCGGGCTGCTGGTTACACGCTACGTCTCCAGAGTGACGGCCACCCAGGCAGCGGGACGTGTGTGTGTGTGTGTGTGGGGGGGGGTTAGGGTTAGGTTAAGTGAGACCTCACACCGGACAAGCAGGCCAGGCCTCGGGACCACGGCGGGCATATGGGTGTGAAGGAGGGGATGGGGGGGCACCGAGCTGTCCACTCTGCCTCCCACCAGACCCCCCCCCCCGGCTGTCACAACAGACACTTACCAGCCCTCACACTAAATACCCGCCAGGGAGGAGGGTGGGGGGGGAAGCAGCATGCTTCCTCTTTCGAAACCCGGAGGATGGAAAAGAGGAAGGATGAAGGATGGAGGGTGTGTAGGGGGGGGGCAGCTAATCTGTTCTTCCTGCCTCTGTGATGTTGGGGGGGAATGCTGGAATCAGGCTGTTTGCCACTTCCGAAGCCAGGCTGCAAACCGGCTAATTATAGCCGCTGAAAGGATGAAGGTGTGACCTAAATAGTTATTTTAAGTCTGGAGCCGACGTGTGAGAACCTTTGCACGCGGGGGGGCCGAGGGGGGGGGGGTGGGCCGAAGAGCCTTCAGCAGAACAGGGAAGTTTCCAGGCTCGACTGCCGCGTGAGGAAACACGCGGCGAGCTGTGAGACGGCTGAACTTCATCGAGTTTCTCCCAAAGCAAGAAGGGGCGTTAAAACTTAACTGTATTTCATGTCAACTTTGAAGATCTTTCAACCAACTTACTTCCGGTTGAAAGTTAATTAGCAAAAGTATCAGAGCCGGTTTTAAGATATTCATCTTACAGTAAAATAGGCAGCGGTTAAAAACAAAGCCACTACACAGTATATCTGCGAAAGTAAAGCATTTTCTTTGAAAGGGGGAAAAAATAGTGGATTTTGGGGTTACTTTTAAAGAAAGACAGCATCATACATCTGGGAAACAGTTAAAAACCGCCACAAAACCATTGATGGGAGCCTCGTGCTGCAGAACCAACGGACATTATTTGAAAAGACTGGCGGTTTCTCCCATCGAGTACTTTCTCTGCACAAACACACCTCTGACTCCCACCTGCCTCCTCGTTTGGAAAAGCTGCTTAACAGCCCCCCCCCCCCCTCCCATTTGTTGCTCACCTGAGAGTCTATTGACAAGTGTCCCGGTACCCCGCTTATCACTTAACCTCGTGTCAAACACGGGCGGGACAAAAAGCTCGGAAGCCGGAGCTCATCTAAGGATTGTCCCCGCCGGGAATAGAGCCCTGCATGTGGAGGTTTGGAAGGGAAGAAGCACACCTCCGAGACAGAAGCTGGACTCTACACGAAGTGAGTGGTTTGGATGGAGAAGGCTTACCATGGCGCCCCGTATATCCGGAATCCCTTTATGGTGACGTCCGAGTCCTGCAGGTACACACAGTTCGTGAGCAGCGTCTGGACATTGTCAAAGTCCTCCGGTTTGAGTTTGGACACCGAAGGGAATCGGTAGTAATCCTGCTTGACCAGCTCGGCCATAAAGTCCTTATCGAAGGTCAGCTCGTGGTTGCCGGCGATCACCACCTTGAACTCGTACGGCAGGCCACCTGGAAGAGATGAGAGAGAGAGAGAGAGAGGGGTGGGGGGAGGAGGGGGTTGAGTCCCGTGTTCACACACGTACACGCGTGTTGAGCTCCGGTCTGCATCTCATCGGCAAGAAGAGGATCCAATAGCTCTGACCTGACAATATGTAGCTGCGATGCAGAACGGATTGACTTTTTATTAGCAAAAAAGAAATTGAATTATTGGACAAATCAGCATCAAGTTGATTCAGACTGAGAATATATGAAGTTCTCTAAATAAAAGAAAAACATTTAGAACTCTGCAATGACTCTTGAATCATTGAGTTTTGAGTTACAAATGTTTAACAGAGCCAGTTTTCTTATTGACCAAAGTATTTCTGAATTTGGATTTGTACATATTTCACTGAGAGTTTTTAAGCAGCAGAACACTAGAAAGACCATTGAAAATCAACAGAAATTACAATCTGTTCCTTTGGCATTAATAAAAAGCAAATAATTGTTTCATTATTTGCTCTGCAGAATACTATTTTATAAAATAAAAGCTTTTCACTCTCCACCAGGACAATGTTTTCTGCTGACAGCGCATAAACTCAGCGCATAAAGTTTCTCCCTGAGTGTCTCACCCAGAGCGCCCATCACGAGTGGAAAGAAGACTAAAGAGATGCTAGCGGGAGAAGCCCCCCCCCCCAGGCACACATTCAGAGGTTACAACCACAGCCGAGGGCTCAGCTTGACCTCAGCAGGCCACCGTCCGTCTCCGCAGACGGCAAGCAGCTGCAAAAAAAAAAAAAAAAAGAAACGAATACCCTGAACTAAATGGAGAAGAACATCGATTACAATTCTCATCGCCTCGTCTTTCAACTTGCCCCGTGCCCTTTCTCGCTCTCCTCGGCCAGGTGATTTGTCCACGGCTGCCCTCCGCCATCAAGAAGCAGACTTAGTACTTTATTTTCCGGCAGATTGAGCACTCAACCAGAGGCTGTGGCCTCCATCACCCCTCTGCAGCTCTCCTTCATCCCCTTCTTCAGGCTTCCAGCAAACGACGGCGTCTGTGCCTTTTAAAGGCTCTGCAGGTTCTGCTCATTTATGACTGGAGTTAACCAGCCTCACCCCCCCACCCCCCCCAACACAGGCCGTAATATCTATGGCGCTGCTTCATTACGTAGTGACTACACAGAATGTGTGACCACTTCATTATGTCAGAATACCAGAACGTAGTTCGAATCTACTGCATTTGGTAAGCTTGTAAAAAATTATTGAATAATTCAGTGGTTATTACAAAAGACATTACGTAATAACGAACCAAGAAGGTCTTTATTCTTAAAAAAGGAACGCAGAATTTATGCATTCAATTATTTATATACTCAAAATCTAAAAATATATCTAATATGGGTTGAGACAAGTTTATAGGTCTAGACTTGATGTATCTTTTGCAACAGAGTCTGAAGGATTCAACATCAGTTGTTCTGATCCGTTTGCAGAAGGTTATGACGCATGTCCAAGAGGGCGAATTGAATTAAGAATCCAAGAAGACGCACGTTCAATAAAAACGATTTTACCTCATGAAAGGTGAAATGATGTAGATGCACTGCTCAACTCTGCGGCGGTTGCAGAGTACGCAATTGGAAATAAATGTAATAGAAACAGAATAAAATAAAAACCAATCAGGATATGCTGCTTCAATACAAATAAATAAGGCCGCATCCGCCCCAAGAGAGTGTGTGTGTGTGTGTGCGCGTTCTCTAGTGCTGAAAATGAAAGAATCATTGCTCTCCGGTCCACAGGTTTCATTCCCGCTACTTTAAATTAGCTCTCGTCGCATCTCAGGATCATAAATTCCAGTCTAACCTTATATAAGAGCGCCTGCTCCCAGTTCCCCAGTACTCTAACTGGATCACACATTCACACACACACACACACACACACACACACACACACACACACACACAGAACCCAAAGCAAATCATCCTCTCCACCACACCACGCAGGGAGAAGATGGGGAAAACATAATTACCATCAAACAACTCCATCTCCATTACTCTTCTGGGGATTTCAGCTGCTTTTTATTGCGCTCGTGAAAGATCTGGCGGCGCCGGTGGAGTGATACGCCGAAATTTATTTCCTCTTTGTCGCCCACGAGCGGGCATGAAAGAGGAAATCAAAGCACAAGGAAAGGTCTCGCCACACCTCCGAACTGGGCCGATCTACATTTGCCCAAAGATTTAAGAAGGCGAGAGCACTGATGAATGAAATGAAAGCGTGTTTCACAGTGCAACACAACCCCCCCACTTCAACAGAGGTTATTATTCGAGTGCATCTCAACATTGTTAGCAGCTAGCGGTTGCCAACAGAGCAAACAGCCTGGAGACGGCATCCGACCGCCGCAGAGCGCCGACTAACGCACAAATCCCTGCGACACGGACTGAGGATTTGCGACGGAAGCCGTGTTTTTAACATGCGGCGCATGCTGCCGGACGGTGGAGGAGGGGAATGCGCTGCAGGAGCGGTTTGAAGAAGTCTCCGCAGACCTTCCGGATTTCTGCAGCGAAAACTGGGTCAGTGTTGCTCCTCTCCGCCGCAACCGCTGTGACTCCAGACCGACTGCAGCCCTCCGAGAGGACAACACGCCGACAGCAGCCTTTCAACTCGGCAGGGGGGGCGAGTGCCTGATACGGCAAACATGGATTTAAGAGCAACGCCACTTTGAGCGAAGGGGTTTACTTTTTAAAAAGGTCCTTCGATTTAATGAGAAATACATTTTCTTTGACGAGTTTGACATTCTTGTAATTATCCGCCGTCTCGTCTGAGTCCAGAAATGAAATTAAACGTCAAGGTCACTATATTAGATATATTTTGACATGAAATACTTGGACCCTTCACAGCAGAAAAAGAAGTAGTCTGTAAATTAACCTTTTGAGGTAGAAAACTTCTCTCTTTAAGGAACTTGTAGTTACTTAAATAAGTCTCTTCAACTTATTTATGTCGTTAAATGTTATGAGTTATGTTCATATAGAACATATTGGACTTTTGGGTGTTTTTTTAACATTGTAACCAGCTTCACTTACTGCAGAACTCACAAGGAACTCTCGTCCTTAACAAAGAATGTTCCCAACCTGCAGATTGAACCAGGAAGTAACGTGTGGTCCTTCAAATGTCAATATGGGCGTTAACGTGACAACGTCCACTTCTTATATATGGTCAACGTCTAAAACGTATGTCTCAGCCTCCCAGGGAAAAAAAAATAGTCCACTTTCAAAAATCATTCAATGAAATGGAAACTCTGCTCCACGTTCAGTCTAGACTTCGTTGTTTTGTTTCACCTGCTGAGAGCTGAATAAATAAACACAAATGACTGAGGCCCAGACAAAATAATCCTAGCGTGTTAAAACTTCACAGGCAGTGCGATGGGGGGGCATTCCTTCATTTAAGCCCTATGCGAGAGGGACCGGCAGACAGTGTGCGGGGATTTTACACGACTATATTAAGAGGGCCGTAAAAATGCTTCAGCTTTACCCCTGAAAATCCCCGACAAGAAACACTTGCTGCTGGGAGAGAAAACACGCACACACAGCATGGGGCCAGAGGGAGAGGTCAAAGGTTAACTGAGCCAGGGTGCTCGGTCACAAGGGTTAAACTGGAGACTTTAGCACAGCCGTTGTGGGCGAACAGTGGAGGGTGTGGGGGGGGGAGGCTTTGTGTGGTCCGGCTGCTGGTTGTGCGTGCGGAGCAGAGCCTTACCGAGCCAGTCGTTGAACTTCTTGACCTCGGAGGGAAGGCCCAGCTCGGTGAAGTCGCCCGTGTGCAGCAGCACGTCGCCGTAGGGCATCTGGATGCCGTCCGTGCGCGAGTGTGTGTCAGACACGCACACAAACCTGGTGTGTCCCGCTGGCTTGGGATTGTCGTACGGAATGGGGTCCACCCTGAAGAGACAATGACACAGAAGAGACGATGAGTCCCGGGCGCCGTAACGTGATAGAAGTGTCACACTCACCAAAGTACCAAACTCATCGGGGGGGGGTGGGGGGGGGGGGGTCGAAATAAAGGGCTTTTAGGTTGGTTTCTTTATGCTCTCATCTGTCAATCACCTGGTTTAACGGGAAGAGGCTCTTTTCACATGCGGCCCGGCACAAACTAGGGTGAAAATGTTTACAAGAACCGAATGAATGTTCCTTTCAAATGACACTCGGGGTAAAAAAAGTATAAACAAAAATGACTTTGTCTACAAAGTTGCGTTAAATTATAATCTTTCGACAGTTTGTTTATGCTGCAGACCTTGATGTTTGCTGTCAGTTCACTCGTTTTTCATTCTTTCAACCTGAACAAGTGCTGTGCAAATATTAAGAAACTGTCAAACGAAAAAAAGAAAAGACCAAACTCAAGTTGCAAGGAATGAAATGTCCCACTTCTGCCTTTTGAACATTGTTTCGGTAAAAAAAAAAAAAAAAGGTCTACTCAACCCAAAAGCATATTTTTTAGGAAATGTGGCTAATTTCATACCACAACGCAAAAAGGGACACAGCTGAAAACTGGAACCGTAAAATTATAATTTGTTGTGAAAAATAAATGACACAGCCACACAGACGGATACAAGCAGCAGAGCCAAATGCATCTGGAAGAAAAGAGGAGACATTTCCACGGGGAAGATGTGGCCGTCAGGGCTGGAAAACAACCAGCGCCCGGGTTGATTTGTGCTCACAAGGAGGGAAACGGCTGTTTTGTGGCATCAGATTGGCTAAAGAGACGGTGAATTAAGGCTCACCACGTTCCTTCTATCCATTATCTAAAGAAAAAAAACACTTAGACCCTGAGTCTGGCTGGAAAAAAAAGCCCTTTTATTCAGGCTTTGTGTTCGATGCAAGTACGTCTGTTAAAAAGGAAGAAAAAGCTGTACTTTTTCTGACTGAAAGAAAAGGGGGGGTGGGGGGGGGCGTCTTGTCTGTAATTGAAGTCTACAATGTGCAATCCTCCAGCACTCTGCCACCAGACCATTATTTCATTAGAAGGGATGTCAGTCTGTCGAAAACATCAGACACATAATCAACGCTGCAATCCCCAATCTGACAAGCGCGCGCACACACACACACACACACACACACACACACACACACACACACACACACACACACACACACACACACACACACACACACACACACACACACACACACACACACACACACAAACCTTGCGTGAGGACACCCACAGAAGCGGATGAAACCGAAAGGTTTCAGACTGGAGACGACGTCATTAAAGAAAGACGGAAAAAACGGGCACCTCGGCACAAAAGACGTCTTACTGAAGGGGCGGAAACGTCGCATTCAAAGAGGGTTTTTAGGGAGGCAAAATTGACTGTTTTCACATGTTGAGCAGCATATTAGACATGACATCCACAAACAGCTTGCAGTCGGCTCTTGTTCCGTTTCAGACTCAAGCAGTCATCCACGGGGTTGTTTTTGAGTGGCGGGTCAACATCTAGATATTTGTTTGTCTGGAAGCAGTTTATAGACAAAATTGTGAACGTGAACACTGGCGCCTCTGATCTTTAAAATGGAAATCTGAAAATGTTCTAATGATATTTTGTCAAGACTGGATGCTGGAGCTCAAATTAAACCCGGATCCATCTTATTCTTCCATTTTGCTGGTTTGCAGCCCACAGTCATTCAGCAGTCTGCACTGAGCAGCCACTGGACACCTTAAACCGTCATGGTTGCAGCTTGCAGATCTTTGCTGGAGACACTGGAGCAGACCCGGACTCCAAAATGAAAAGGCTAGCTGGAGATAATGGCATTTACCAGCGGCCGAGGGCAGGAGGGAACGCTCCCGTACACACACAGACATTAACCTAAGCCAGCAGAGCGGCGCTACGCATGGTGATTAGATTGGGTCTGCTCCGCGGTGCCTGGACGCTGTGCAGCTTTACAGGACCCGACGGTTCTCGTCATGGAGGAAGGGCGAACGCGGAACCACATGGGATGACAAAACAAACGCACGCGTACGTGTACGTTCATGTGCAAACACACACACAGGCAGGCATATAAAAGACGAAGCCAGGGGGAAAACAGTCGGTCGTCTCCTCCCCTTTCTTTTGAGATTTAATCCACCCTGAGAATGTAAGTAAATACCAGCAGCCCCTATCAATTAAGAGCAGGCCCGGGCCAAGAAACCTTCATGATAATGCTGCATAAGTCTCACACACACACACACACACACACACACACACACACACACACAAAGAGAGGCCCCAGTCTCTCCTGTTAACATACGACTGCATAACAATCCAGAGGTTCATTAGTAATGTATACAAGAGTTCAGGAGTTCAGCAGTGCGCCAAAGGCCTCTGATCCATCGTAAGCCGAGACGGTGAAAAACGAAAGCGTCTGCAGGTAAAAGAATATTCTCCGACGGCAGACTGCACCGCGTTAGCATGAAGGTTCCCGTTAACATGTCTGAGCTTCGGCGCGACATCAGAGGGAAGACTGCGAGGATAGAAAAAAAAAAAGAGTGGGGGAGCGAGAGAAATGCTAATGCGCTGGAGGAGAGCAGGAGCACACTTTGAAATCCGCCATGACATCGGAGCCGACACAAAACCGAGGTCTGTGGCAGCAGAAGGATCTGCTCCATGAACCGGTGTGTGTGTGTGTGTGTGTGTGTGTCTCTCTTCTCACCCACAGCTGCAACGTCGTTAGAGCCTCAAAAAATGTTCTTCTGCAGCTAAACATTTTCCACTCTAAAAAGGGTGTCTGGTGACGGTGCCCCGGACACCCTTTTTATTCTAACCGTCGAGCTTGTGCTGTGAGCTTAATTGCGAGAGTCACAGATGACAGAAGGTGGGAAAGACAAACGTATCTCCACTTTTGAACGTTCCTTTCTCACTTGTTATTCTCCTAAAAGTAAATAAATACAAAAGAGGTCTTCTCAGCATTTCTTTGATTATTTAGTTTGATTAAGCATCATCAGAAAAGCCCCACACCCTCCGTGAAAAGCACATGAATAAATAAATAAGACTCAAGCAGGACTTCTTATCTGCAAGACTCAACATGCTTGCAGATAAGAAAACTATACAAATAAACAACTAAATCCTGGAGAACGGTCTCCACGAAGGCAGTGGAGGGAGGTGTAAATCGCCGTAGCAGAGACAGACGGAGGAGTGCTCTCGGGTGTCTGTAGGAGGAAATTCAATTTGACTGAGCACACTTGGCTCTGTGGCCCTTTTGGGGGAGAAAAAAAGAAAAGAAAGAAGAACACACACACACACACACAAGCAAGCAGGGTCGAAGTTCAGGCCGAGCATGCTTCTTCAAACGTGACACTTAAATCGCAGCCGATAAGAAGGTCGCGGTCCGCGTCACTCGCCGACTCGTCCGGCTCTTTAAGCGCGCCACATAATCACCGTGATGGATTGCAACGCTTCCTCTCGGCTCCTCGCAACAGGCCGAGGAAGTTTGCTGCCTCGGCCAGACAAAACCCTGCCAAAAGGCTCATCATCGGGTTTTTGGAATCCGTTACATTTGAATCCGGTGGACGCCTCTGATGAGTCGAGACAAAGGGAATTGTTGTAGAAATGAAACACATCTGTTTTCTGTCTTTGTCGTCAGGTATTTTGACAACAAAGCGGCACAAATAAAAACCTGGTAAATAAAAAAAGGGCCGGCAGGCTAGCAGAAGACATTCAGCTTCATCACAGGACCCCCTTGCAGGGCCAACGGGGTCAGCGACATCTAAGCTGCCCACTTGGACAGAAACACGTGTCCATTGTTTCCTACCTGCCGCAGGAGAATTAGCCTCCGCTTCCTTCATTGTTGATGGAGTCGTCCCACTAATGATTTCTCATTAACGAAGCCCCGCGGTGGGGACCGAGTCACCTAAAATCTCCAGGGGTCAAAAGGGGAAGTGTGGAAACGGACCGCTAATCAACTGACGGCGACCTGACGGTACGTGACCGGCAGGATGAGGACTCGTACTCTACTGATTTGTTATGTGCAACACAATACAAATCATCTTTTCTTTCATTATCATTATTTTCTTTCTCTGCGACAGCATTTTGCAATATTTATGATACGGCACAAATGTGTAATTAGGTTTAATTGGCTGAAGCCAATCTGGATCTCTGCAGGGTACTGAAACAAAGACTGTAAAGGCACCTCTGCTCTTGAACGCCTGCAAGTCCAACTTCTCAACAAAGACTACCAGAGAACATTTTATATCAGCACGTCCATAAGCAGGAATTTAACTAGATCATCACCGCTGACCTGGAGACCAAACCGCCACCTTCCTTCCGCTCAGCTCACGCCGTCTTTATTGCTCTTTTCAGGAGAAACATCAAAACACAAAGCTCTCTATTTCTATAACCTCTGCATTGATTCCCCTCCCCCTACTGCAGACTCTCTCTCTGTCACACACATATAACAAGTGTGCAATGGGAATAGCACAGGCTCTTTTTGGGTTAGTTCTAAAAATCCACACACACACACACACACACACACACACACACACACACACACACACACACACACACACACACAGCTCACTCATCCACAGTGAAATACCGTTTCGGTGAGAGGAGCAGAGCGAGCGCCTCTCTTATCTTCTGCATTTCAGCTGTCCGCGCTAATTCAATAAACTTCAGAGGAACAAAATGAACACAGGAATAACGGAGAGGGTGGTGGTGGTGCTGGTGGGGGACGGGGGGGTGGTGAGGTGCAGGAGGGGTGGGGGGGGGGCTGCTCCAAGGGAGGAAAGAAACAAGCAAACAAGAAAACCCAACATGTAAATATATAAAAAAAAAAAAAGGAGGCGGAGGCACGCACAGAATGCAGAACGATGGAAATCCATGAAAAATGTAAAATTATATTCAAATCATAATTGATTTTAAAGAATGCAGAATAATGGCTGTTTGGCCTTATTGCCCCCCTCCCTCCAG